CTTTTCCATAATCCATTCTCCCTGCTGGAATAACCTTTCTCTCTTCTTCCCTCTTTCCTTGGCAAGCTCTTTTCTTCTAAGGCTCAGGTCCACTCTAATGTCCTTAAGAGGAATCTCCCAGGCAAAATTAGTTGCTTATTTCTCGGAGGTACCATAGCCATAGAATTTGAACAAACCTCTTCCTGCACTGCAAGCTCCCCTAAGGCTGTGGCTACAGTTTGTTTATCTTTGCATCTTCCCCTAGTGCCAATCAACAGTGACTGGTTTAAAGCAGATGCTCATAAATGTTAGCTATGTGTGCATGTATGAATGAATCCCCAAACCAAGGCTTGCCGACATCTGGTTCCACAACATCTGCTGCAGAGTGAAAACAAAAATGAATCTGTAGAATAGCTTTTGACAGCCAAGTTGTTATTTTATACCCTTTCATGGGAAGCTCCCACTTTTTTTGTTGTTATAGCTGGTGAATCCACATTGGAGCAATGATGCCCAGCTGAGTGACTACATGAGGATAGTTTATAGTCTCTAGACACCACGAGGAGAAAGCTGGTGATCTGAGAAAACTCTCCCCAGACAGAACGTGGACTCTACAATATTTTGTTACCCTAAAGAGAAACTCAAAATGAAATTAAATTTAAATGTAAGAGAAGCAACTTCTTTAGGAAAAAATTTGACATTCTTATGGAGAAAACAGGAAATGAACTTTTTTCTTGACCTCATATCATAATCGAAAAAAAAATCTTACCAACCAAACGATGATAACCATTTGCCAGAACTGAAAAAATAAGTGTCAATGAAAAATATAAAGTGCTTGACACTTTGGTATCTGTAATGCTCTGAGGTTTCATTTTCTTTGTTTTTATGTGGTTTAGGAATTGACTTCTGTGACTGTACTGATTCAGTTGTTCAATTCAGTAAACATGTGTCAGTTATATTCCATGTGCTGAGCACTGTGCTGGAAACAGTAGATATGTATCTGATAGGAAAGAGTTGAGATTAAAAAAAGAACAAGATCTGTCACTCCTTTTCTTAGAATCCCTAGCAACCACAGCTCTCTGGCACCTAGCCACTTTCTTGCCTTGAGGAATGGCAGGGGGAACTGAAGGATTACTCAGACAAGCACAGCAAATAAGAATGAGAGAGCAGTAGGTTTCTGCAGAAGCTGTTAGGGAAGTGGCACGCTGTTTCATTAAAGGCAGATTGAAAAGTTACTTCCTTCTGATTTGAAAATACTGGTCACAGAGGTGTTTAAAATTTCATTATGGAGTTGGTTTCAGTGTTTTTGTTCTTTCTGCCATGGTCATGTGCGGAAACAATGATCTGGCTAAGAAAAAATTTAAGTTGATTCAGAGGCTGGAAAGATGAGTGGAGTTTGTCCTTTTACTTTGTTTTTCACAGTGGATGTGGCAAATAGGCCACATGTCTGAACTTGAGTGATGCTGACAGTGGTTCCGGTCAAGTTAACAATTCATGGTCCCTGCTGTGTACCAGGTCCTCCAGGGGAATCAAAAGCAAAGAGGACACAGTTGCTGCTTGTGGATGGTCTTACATCTTGCAAAATAAATAAGACTGGGGTACAAATGCAGAAATTAGCTAAGTGTTGTAGGAGAGGTGCAAAGTGCCCATGGGTTAGTGAAGCAAGGGAGAAAACGTGCCAGTTGGAGTCAGTCAGACAAGGGGTCATGGAGGTGGTAGCATCTGAAACGGACATTGATAAATTAGGTAATATTTTCAGTAATAGAGGGGAGCTGTTCTTTTAATTCACATCTTTACTTCCACCATAGTAAGAAACTCTTTTTGAAGAGCAGTTGCTAGTTAGTTTGACTAAAGTATGAGATATGTTTAGGGGGCAGGAAGTTGCTTGGGCAGAAGTAGGAAAGGTACCTGGTGGGGAAGGGAGGTTACAACTCCAAATAAGAGGTTCTGTGCTTTAAAAATATTCAGTAGAAGAATTTTTGAAGATTTGAGCAAAGGATTCCAATGATTGCTTATGTGCTTCATCAGTTATAATCTGGCAGTTTAGGGTAGTGTGAACTCATTTTCAATTGCAGGAGCAGATAGCAGAGGAGAGACTGTCACAGTTATCCAGTTAAGATGGAATCAAATCGTAGAATGAGCAAGGTCAAGGGACTCAGGTGAAGTCTTAGATTTGCCAGTAAAAGAGGCTCCATTAAAGGAAAAGCTGATAAATTGGACCACATCAAAATTAAAAACTTCTGCTCTGTGAAAGATCCTGTTAGGATGAAAAGACAAATTAAGGACTGGGAGAAAATATTGCAAACCATGTACCTGACATAGGATCATAAAAATGACCCCATTTTTATGTCTTTATCCAGAGGAAACCACTGATGATGTTTTGGTGTGTATCTTTTAAAATAGCTTTCTATGAAGATAAATGCAACATTAAAGTGTTACAATAATATTATACATGCTGTTTAGCAATCTGAACATGGAGGTACTGTGTTTCATTTAACCAACCAGGTAAGGGATGGACTATTAGCTTCTTTGCATTTTTTAGCTATAGTAAACAACTCTAGGATGAATGTTCTTAAATATACATTCATCTACACTTGATAAAGTACATCCTGGAAGAAGTCATTATAAGCAGAATGCCTAGCAAAGAATACGTAGATTTTAAATTTTAAACTATGTGGGCAGATACAGTCTAGAAATACAGAATTTTTACATTCCTAACAACTGTCCTTCACTGTTTTCTTATACCCTTTCCAGTATTTGATACTGTCAATATATCCTTTTAAAATATTTGATGGAAGATAAAAAGTTAGATCTCATTCTTTTGTATACACTTATCTGATTATTACAAAGATTCATTATTTTTCATACTTTTTTTTTTCTTGCTATTGGCATTTTTCTAGTTGCCAATTGCCTACTGATTCCTCTTACTCACTTTTCATAGGGTTGCTTTTTTCTTACTATTTTTTAGAGTTGGTTGTACATTGGGGATGCAAGTTTTTGTTGTGCATGTTGGCATGTTGACAATATTTTCCTAGTTTATCATTGCTTTTCAATCTTATTCAAAGGATTTAAAAATTTTTGCCATAGGTCAAGTTGAAATTTTTAAGTAGTTACCAGTACTTTCTGGATTTTATGGCACATATAAAAAAGCCCTCTCCACCCTTATTTAAATAGAGGATAGAGAGAGGATGAAGAAAAGAGGATAGATATGTGGGTAGGCATTTATAATTTATAAAAGTAGGAAAAAACAACAACTCAATTTAAATCCTAATCAAATCACAACAAAAGCAAACAACAGTGAAGCTCTTTCTTTGGTCAAGGAGAATTGAATCAAATACATTTTGAAGCTTTTTATCTACTCTGGGATGGTATGCAATCAGTACATGGGGAAATGCTTTCCCTGTTTCAAAGAATATTTATTAAGTACAATATTTATTAACCTGTGCTAGGTTTTGACTCAAAGTAAAAAAAGATAATGATTCAGAAAATAAAGTAAAAATGCCCCTGCCTCCAAAGAGCACAGGCTGTAACTGTCATGTATATATAAGGGAGTGTAGAAGCCTTAGAATCCTCCTCCCATCTTCATGCCATCTTATCTTACTTCAAAACCATAAGAGAAACAATTGCTAAATCTAAAAATCCTGAGTTACTGAAAAATAAAATACTTCTTGTGATTTCAAGAAAACATATTATCTAAAAGAGCCCCTAATTCCCTTCTTCTGCATCTACATTCATGACTACCTCCCTGCAAGGAGACCCGGATGCCTTTGAGACACTGAGTGGGCTGTAATAACTAAACCTGTAATCATTTTTTATGCCAAGAAAATGTTTACAAAACATCTGCACCATTTAACCAGCTAGGATGTTTTGTGAAAAATATTTCTGATTGCTTCTATCAAGTGGTACTCATCTATTTGATATAATGGATAAAAATATTTGAAAATACTTGGTCATCTTAACTCTGTGTGTGTGTGTGTGTGTAATATGTATGTGCATATACTCATGTATAGCAGAATTTTATATACAATTATGTTTTTAAATTAATATACTTAATGTATTTTGTAAGGGAGAATGGAAGATATTAAGAGGAGGAACTAAGATTACTTTATAATGAGAGAAATAATAGTCCCTACTGTTTTTAATAGGATTTTAGAAATTATTTTACCTTCATTATTCAATATCTGCAAAAAGCCTGTGAAATACGCATGAATATTTTTGTTTTATGTAATGCAGAAGTATGACTAAGCGAGTCAAGCTCCTGGGTTAGTCACTATCATGATAAAGCAAAACCCCGAGTTCAGTGCTTTCTCCACCATACTCTTGCTCCCTAGTGATAAAGGCCTGTCTAACTTGTAAAAGGAGGATTAGTGAGTTATTCCCAATTAGGTATATATGTATAAATCTAATGAGACCCTAGCCACTTACTTAACAAGGGCCCTGCTTGCTGAAACAAAGCCCCCTCTTTATCATACTTGCCTGAGCACAATGTCACAGGAGCAACGTTAACTTTGGAGTCAAATTCCATCCTGGGTTTGAATTCCGGTAATGCCCTTATTAGCCGCGTGTACTCGGACCTGACCTCTCTGCCTTGTCTTCATCGGGGTCTATTGGCAGTGGTAATACTCACAATGGGGACTTTTCTTGATATGTCAGGCACATTGTAGGTGCTCCAGAGCCATCCGGAGGGACATCATCTGGACTCTCCTAGGATGGCAACAAGAGATAAACAGTGATTTGGGAAATCGTTACAGGGAATGAGGCCCTGTATGTAAAGGCAAGAGCCAACAAGAGTCAATTCTGAGCCCTGTGTTTTAAAGCCCCCACCTTCAAAGAACTGGAATTTGGCCATGGTTAGATTCACCCCTTTTATCTCTGATCCTCATATTCCCTTGTTTGATGAGGCATTACATTAAGGAAATGGGGAACCTCGAGAACATAAGAGAAATGTAGGAATAGCATTGATGAACCTTTTAACGATGTTCAAAATAGATTTCCCTAATCCTTGGTTTTTTACCCCTTCATAGATGATGGCGTCTGTGTCTTTAAATGTTTACTCAACAAAGATACTGAATGTTGCCGTGTGGGGAAGGAGTCCATCTTGATTACTCTGGGATACCACAGTGCCTTGCTGAAATTTGAGTCTCATGCCGGTAAGTCTTGTGCCTGTGCTGACTCTGTCTTTTCCACAGATGAAGCCCCGGAGAGGCTGGCTTTTTGCTGTTACTGGTTGGCTTTTGGTAGCATGTTTCCTGTTCAGAGTTTTCATTGAATGATAGTACGGTTTGCAGCTGCCTCTGGCGCCTTCCTGACACCGCAGCTTGAGACCGGCCAGCCTTTTCCTAGACTATGAGAATATTTTCATTCTTAGCTCCCCTTTCGGCCTTCCTTCATCTAAGGCGGCAGGAGAGGCCACCAAGGATTAACCAGATCTTCTCCACTGTTGTTGATTCTCCTGGAAGATATGGCCCTTTGCAGAAATGGGATTTTCAGCATGAGAGTCAGTCAGAATGACTTGAGCCTGTTTTGCCTTTGAATCATGTATTGAACATTTTTAGACACTGGGCAACAAATTTCAAGCAGCAGGAAAGTAAACTAAATAGAACTATTTTAAAACAGGGCTGAAAGGTGCTCTGGAAGACATCTGGTCTGATAAAGACAATTAAGGCTAACAATGCCTTGGGTCTACCTTAGACAGCCGAATGTCATTTTTTTAATTTAGATATAAATTGTTCCTTTTTACATACAGTGTTAATCCAAGCAATGTAAAGTATTAGCAATGGTATATATTTCTCCCCTGGTTAGCTAAAATATCCAAAGCTGTTTCATTATTGATAACTACTTAGGATAAAGAAGTTAAACTGGTTTCTTATTTCTAGGCTGACTCTGGAATCAGCCAGATTAAGGAACTTGTTTTATCATGTATCTATCTCTCTATCCACCCCTCAATTCATCTACCAGTCCATCTTATTTTTATGATTCATTTCAACATAATTTCAATAACCAGCACATTTTACCACCATGTGCTCCAACTTCTGAGCCCTGTGTTTTAAAGCCCCCACCTTCAAAGAACTGGAATTTGGCCATGGTTAGATTCACCCCTTTTATCTCTGATCCTCATATTCCCTTGTTTGATGAGGCATTACATTAAGGAAATGGGGAACCTCGAGAACATAAGAGAAATGTAGGAATAGCATTGATGAACCTTTTAACGATGTTCAAAATAGATTTCCCTAATCCTTGGTTTTTTACCCCTTCATAGATGATGGCGTCTGTGTCTTTAAATGTTTACTCAACAAAGATACTGAATGTTGCCGTGTGGGGAAGGAGTCCATCTTGATTACTCTGGGATACCACAGTGCCTTGCTGAAATTTGAGTCTCATGCCGGTAAGTCTTGTGCCTGTGCTGACTCTGTCTTTTCCACAGATGAAGCCCCGGAGAGGCTGGCTTTTTGCTGTTACTGGTTGGCTTTTGGTAGCATGTTTCCTGTTCAGAGTTTTCATTGAATGATAGTACGGTTTGCAGCTGCCTCTGGCGCCTTCCTGACACCGCAGCTTGAGACCGGCCAGCCTTTTCCTAGACTATGAGAATATTTTCATTCTTAGCTCCCCTTTCGGCCTTCCTTCATCTAAGGCGGCAGGAGAGGCCACCAAGGATTAACCAGATCTTCTCCACTGTTGTTGATTCTCCTGGAAGATATGGCCCTTTGCAGAAATGGGATTTTCAGCATGAGAGTCAGTCAGAATGACTTGAGCCTGTTTTGCCTTTGAATCATGTATTGAACATTTTTAGACACTGGGCAACAAATTTCAAGCAGCAGGAAAGTAAACTAAATAGAACTATTTTAAAACAGGGCTGAAAGGTGCTCTGGAAGACATCTGGTCTGATAAAGACAATTAAGGCTAACAATGCCTTGGGTCTACCTTAGACAGCCGAATGTCATTTTTTTAATTTAGATATAAATTGTTCCTTTTTACATACAGTGTTAATCCAAGCAATGTAAAGTATTAGCAATGGTATATATTTCTCCCCTGGTTAGCTAAAATATCCAAAGCTGTTTCATTATTGATAACTACTTAGGATAAAGAAGTTAAACTGGTTTCTTATTTCTAGGCTGACTCTGGAATCAGCCAGATTAAGGAACTTGTTTTATCATGTATCTATCTCTCTATCCACCCCTCAATTCATCTACCAGTCCATCTTATTTTTATGATTCATTTCAACATAATTTCAATAACCAGCACATTTTACCACCATGTGCTCCAACTTTCATATCCTTAACTAGAATTCAAAATTTATATTTCTCATTTTTTTCTAATAAGATTAAATTTGCATACATTGAGATGCACAAATCTGAAGAATAGCATCATTCCTGAAAGTGACCTCATGCCCTCTCCCAGTCATTCTTTGTTCCCGTCCTTCTAGGGGTAATCACTGTTCTGCTTTTTTTCTCAGCTATAAGTTAACTGTCTTCTCTAGAATCTCTTAAAAAATGGAATTAGTCAGTATATATTCTCTTTAATAAGGTCACTCAGTATGTTGTTGCAAATATTAGTAGTTTGTTTCTTGATTGCTAAGTAATAGTCGTAATATGCTTATCCATTCTATTTTGATGGAATTGACACAGTCTTCAGGTTTGGGCTGTGAATAAGACTTCTATAAATATTCTTCTACCAATCTTTTTGTATACATAAATATTTTTTCATTTCTCTTGGATCAATACCTAGGAGGAAAATTGCTAGGTTATAGAGTAAGTGCATGATTAGTTTTATAAGAAATAGCCGGAATTTTTTTTGAAGTGTTTGTACTATTTTACATTCCACCAGTAGTGAATGAGAATTCCACTGGTTCTTCCACATCTTTGCAAACATTTGATCTTTCAGTCTTTTAAATATTTTCCATTCTGGTGGGTATGTAGTTGTAGCTCATGGTGACTTTAATTTATATTTTCCTGATGCTTAACGATGTTAAGTACTTTTTCGTGTGCTTATGAATTCAAATCATTTGCCCAAGTAATTGGTTGTTTTATCTATGGAATTGTCCTTTATATGTCCAGGTACAGGCATGTATCAGATATGGAATTTATGGATGTTATCTCCAAGGGTAGCTTGCTTATTCATTTGCAGAATGATGCCTTATGTTGAGCAGAAGTTTTAAAATTTGATTAAGTCCAATTTAACATTTTTTCTTTGTGCTTATTGCATTCTGTTTCTTAACCTTTGCCTACCCTCAAATAGTGAATGATTTCTTCTATATTTCTTTCTAGAAGTTTTATAGCTCTAGTGTTTATATTTTATATATACAATCTATCTTAATTATTTACATATGGTGTATAGTATGGGGAGAAGGATTATTTTTGGACAATATGGATATCCATTTATTCTAGCACTGTTGAAAAGACCCCTGCAAGTCAAATAACTGTATACAGACATAGTCTATTTCAGAGCTTTCTATTCTGTTCGATTGATTATCCTTACACCAGTATCACATTGCCTGGATTACCCAAGTAACACTTAAAGTCAGATAGTTTAAGTCCTCCAACTTTGTTCTTCTTTGTCAAGATTGTTCCAGATATTCCTGCTCCTCTGCCTTTTCATATATATTATGTTGTCAACTTTTACAAAGTGCTTGATTATTACTGACATTGATCAGTTTGATGAGAATGGTCATTTTTACAATAATAAGTCAGCCATTGGTAAGCTGAAGACAGCTTACACTAAATGACAACAGGCCATTATTAAATTATCAGAAGTTTTATAGCCTGAAACTGGCTAGAATGGGATAATTTACACCACAGAGACTGGCAAACTATAAACAAGGGCCTTTTTTTGTTTTGTGAGGAGAATCAGTTGTTAAATGTTTACCAGCACACCACTACTTCCAGTCTGGGAATATGGTATTTCTTTCCATTTATTTAGGTCTTTTCTTTAATTGAAGTATAGTGATATTCAATGTTATCAGTTTCAAATCTACAACACAGTGTGGTTCAACAGATATCCACATTATTAAATCTTTAACCCAACTAGTAGTTACTGTCTGTCAATAGGGGAAGATGTTGCAGAATCATTGACTGTGTTCTGTATGCTGCATTTCCATCCCTGTGACCAATTTATATTATGATTGAGATCTGTGTGCCTCTTTATCCCCCAGCCCCACCTCACCCACCCAACCCCTCCTCCATGGTAACCACCAGTCACTTCTCAGTGTCTGCGAGTCTACTGCTGATTTGTTCATTTTGTTTTGTTTTTAGATTCCACATAAGTAAAATCATGTGGTATTTATCTTTCTCTGCCTGGCTTATTTCACTTAGCATAATACTCTCTAGGCCCATCCATGTGTATTTAGGTCTTTAATTTTTCCCCAGAAGGGAAATGTGTTGTAGTTTTCAGATAGATGTTGTATACAACTTTTGACAAATTTATCCCTAGATGTATTATGCTTTTGAATCTATCAAAAATAAAATTTTGAAAACTCACAACTGTTTGCTGCTGGTATATAATAAATTAATTTTTAATGTCAATATTGTATACTACAACCTATTTTATTCACTACTAGTTTTAGTAGTTATGTTTTGGATTTCTTAGAATTTCCTGTTTCAAAAAACTCTGTCAAATGCACATAGAGTCAGCTTTCATTCTTTACTGATATTTATGCTTTTTATACCTTTCCTTGACTTTTTGAAATTATCATCATCTCCAGTATAGTACTGCACAGACCTGGGAGAGCAGTGGTCCATAACATTTTCCCGACTGTAGGGCAAAAGTCCAGTATGCCACCATTAAGTATAATGTTTGTTGTATGTTTTTTGTGGCTGCCCTTTATCAGATTGGGGAAGTTCCCATCTATCCTCAGCTTGCTGGAAAATTTTTTTTTTTTGAGAGGGCATCTCTCATATTTATTGATCAAATGGTTGTTAACAACAATAAAATTCTGTATAGGGGACTCAATGCACAATCATTAATCAACCCCAAGCATAATTCTCAACATTTTCCAATCTTCTGAAGCATAACGAACAAGTTCTTACATGGTGAACAAGTTCTTACGTAGTGAATAAGTTCTTAGATGGGGAACAGTGCAAGGGCAGTCATATCACAGAAACTTTCGGTTTTGATCACACATCATGAACTATAAACAATCAAGTCAGATATGATTATTCATTTGATTTTTATACTTGATTTATATGTGGATCCCACATTTCTCCCTTATTTTATTTTATTTTATTTTATTTTTAATAAAATGCTGAAATGGTAGGTAGATAGCTTGCTGGAAATTTTTATCATGATTGAGCATTGCATGTTGTCAAATGTTTTTCTGGATGTATTAAGATTATCATATTCTATAGATTTGGTGAATTACTTGGAATGGGGTAGTTTGTATAGAATTGGTTCTTGCTGAGTTGAAGATACATAAATTTGCATTCAGAAAGGCTAAAACTGGTAGAATTTCTAAGGCAGGTTAATCCAGAGAAAGCTTTTTATTAGAAGGCAGAGCTAAAAAAATAAATCTGTATAGGGCTCTCCCTAAGTTTCTAGCTGAATAAATCCTAAGCAGAACATGTGCAGGGTAGATTTCCACAGGAAGTACAATAACCACTATTGTGAATGCTTGAAGCATAAAGAAGAAACTACAAAATAGTCACACCTTAGTAGCATCTAAACTAGATCTAGAGTTAAGACTTCTCTGTGCCAACCAAGGCAAAACCAACCGCAAGTCTTTAGAAGAATCAAGTTGACATACAATTAGCTACTCTGCCTGACTGAACAAACCTCAGTACTCCTTAAAGGAAGGCGACAAAATCTAGACTAGACAATCAATAGCACAACATTTAGAATATCCAGCTTCAGTAACAGAAAGATATCTGCAAAATTCCCAAATACATGGAAGTTAAAATAATTCTCAGTATCTCAGGATGAAAGAGGTAATCAGAAGAGAAATTAGAATGTATTTTGAACTAAATGATAGTGAAGATGCAACATATCAAAACAAAGTTTGGTTACAAAAGTAAAGCCATACTTACTGAAGGATTAATGAATTTAAGAAACTTTTTCACAAAAGAATAAAATAGATAAAATTGACTAAAGTTCCACTGTAAGAAGCTAAAACAAAAGGGGAACCCCAAAAATGCAGAAGAAAGAATACTGTAAAGAGTAGAAATCAACAAAACAGAAAGTAGGTAAACAATTGAGAGAATAATGCAACCAAAAACTGACTTGTTGAAAAGACTAATAAGATTGATAAATCTCTAGCTAGGCTGATCAAAAAAAAAAGATGACCAATATCAGGAAAGAAATAGGAGAAATCATTATAGATATTATGAATTAAAAGGATAACATGCACATTATGAATAAATTTGCCAGTAAAACTGACATCTTAGATGAAATGGAACA